TCAATGACAGAAGGACATCTGCGACGTCCTTCATCTTGAATGTCGAATTCACCTCAATGAAACTTTCCAAACCAACATTTCACTGTAGGCTCGTTAACACTTCTTTGGCCCAATACCGGGTTAGCGCTTCGGGCCGTTTTTCCTTCGTACTTCAGTGTTTGAATTCGTGGAGTTAGATCTGCTGAAACTGTAGTGTTTTGGTATCTGGAAATTCTGACCTATAAAATTTGTCAAAAACACAATTTATATTACAGTTCAATTACAACGAGCGCATTTGCTTCGAATGATCTTCTACAGTATGCAGCAATGCCATGAATTTCTATGGAAAACTGCTGTTAGAGCAAATATAAGACAAATGACATTTCAAATCTCACAATAATTTTCGCGCAACCTAGTATTTGACCTTATTGTGTTATATTAACCTTAGCATATCAATATCGGCCGAACCATTTAATTATTTTAAATTCCGAAATAGGCATGCTAAGGTGCTCGAATGTCGTGATTGCAAGAAATTGTTTCCGTTGTGACTCAGACATGTTTTTGCCACTTTGCGACAAAACATAGCGGATTCGGTAAAGAATGCCAGCACTGTTGGTTTGCTCCTACTTAAGCCAATTTGCTACGCGGAGAAGTTAAACTTTTTAAATATGACCCTGTTCTAAACTTCCAATGTGTTGTGAGACACTATCTGTTAGGCTAGTGTGCACGTGATGTCTTGAAAAATGACGTGACACATGCCGGCTCAAATTCGTAGCGATGTCAAATCAAAGCTATAACTCTTAGGAAATAAAGTTGGCATTAGAACACTTTTTTGAGAGGATTCTTAATGAGGAACTCCTTTCCCAATAAAGGACTCGTGGCATCGTTTGGATCTGTTCAAACCTACGAAATGGATTGCTGTATCTACTATAAAGCGAAATGCATGACTTGTGAGCTGCGGTTGATCCAAGCAGAGAAGTGAACTCTATGTAAGCACAGTAGTTAACACCTAATGAGAAAACTGGTTATAAATGCAACCTTTAAATGCCGCTACTGCAGGCAAGAAGAACAGAAAAGGGTAGGAACTTTGAATTTTGAATCGTTACTGAATATGGAAATGCATCTTATGGACAGATAATTCGAAGTGGTTTGTGAGTAAACATAGCATTCAAAAGAACGCTCAGGCGATTGAAGGATCCCAGTAGACTTGGTAACGAGCGCATTAAAGCAATGCTGTACGCGTGCAGATGATGTACCGTATGAATAGAAAAAAATTAGAGGAATCATTTGCTGGTGTTGTTGTTAGGGTTTTTTAATTCGAAAGTCATGAGATCTCCCGACACGACAGATCTCAAGAAAACTAGGGCAGCACTGAATGAGTCACTGCATATCCATGAAATGTTGCGGTCTTCTCTGGGGAGACGGAGCAGAAACGCCTTGTGCCTCTTCCTTTGTTTTTAACCTTGCTTCTCTATCGCTTGATGTTGATATACTTAGTTATGAAAACACGACGTCTAGACCTAGAGAGCTAGTTCGCTAGAAAGTTGTGGAACTCTACGTGACAATTTCATTGGGATTACCTTTATTGCGACATTTACAATTATTTATTACGCTAGTGCTGCAGGTTTTCTTTACTGCCAACTAATGTATAAGGGTATTAGGAGAGCAACCTGCAGCTCCTCCTTCCTCCGCAGAAAATTTGCCTTTATTTTTTTTGAAAGGAAATACCGTCAGGAAATCAAATGCGACGTCAATTATTCTGGCAAAATTTCATCGTGGTCATTTGGAACATTATGAAGGGCATATTCCAAGGCTTATGTTTTGACTATTCTGAATGAGAAAGGAGCTTTTTACTACTGGCCTACCGACTGATAGTTGTCCACCACTTAGTCGCAAGTTCGCGCAGCTGAAACGAGTTAGACATGAACCATCAGCAAGAGCATAATCCTTTTGTTTCTGCTGTCATAGATTTACATAAGGCCTTAATATGTACTTAGATATTTCATGCATGTGTGAAGTGTGTTTTCGTTTATGGAGGTTATGTCGTGCATGTTTATTCGAGCAAAACTGCAATTTTGAGATGTTAGCATTAGCTCCAACAAATAATCTTGTCTCTATTCTGAAGGAGACCTGTATGCTAGCCGTTAGGATATAGAACCCTATGTCAGACCTCCATAAGTTAGTCATAGCTGTTAGTCGTTGGAAACGGTAAAAAAATGTGTCTCATTCCTTTGATTTTTAGCGTTCTGAGTGAGAGCAAGATTCACCAATGTTGAGTGAGACGAGTACGCAGAGAATGCTAAAATCCCAGGGTCATTTAAAGCTGCATAAATTTGGAAAAACTATATTGACGCTCTGTACTCGTAACGCACATACGCTACCATCTGCAACCTCTACTGAGGACCTGATGATGAAAACTACAGCTCGGAATATGCAATAATGGCCTCACCAGCAGCGGGTTGCGAACATCGGTCTCTTTGATCTTTGAAACGAATGATTCGAATCGCATGCCTACAACTGAAAAATGTGCAACTGTATTTAATCATAAAACCTACATTCTCTACGTAACAACTATGGAAACAGCGATGTTGAGGCATTTTATGCCAACTTTAACAAGTTCTAGAGCGGAAGTTAAACCTTTTCTGTAAGGTCAAGATTGGCGGTTTCAATGCCAGAGTTGGATCTAGGAGAACGTTTTGAATACTCGTGGAATGAAACGAACAAGATGAGCGGTCACTTGGGTTCACCATGATTACCAAGAGCATTCATTGTAAATCCAGAACGTAGAAGATTCCCAGTGGAGAGTGCTATAATGAAATTGACTGTATTATAGTTAACCGACAATTTTGCTGTACCATTATCGTTCTTGCTGCAAAGTTTTCCACAGAACAGGACCGCGGCTTCCGAACAGTATTCTTTTTTTCTGTGAATTTATCCTGGAAATAACTTTGCTCACACGACTGGCAAAGACGAGAACACGAGACTATCATACGCTGGCTAGAGGCCGCAAAACTGTGGCCTATAGGCGTTAGTCCTTCTGCTAAATGTTTTAGATCGCATCTACACCCGTCATAGGATCGCTTAAAAGTATCACGTGCTTTATATTTCAACCTTTGTTGATCCGTCTGTGTTTATCGACGCAGTCGGACCTGTTGTGAATAACTTAAGCAGATCGAATTGCGGAAATACAGTTCTTCTACGACCGCTCACCATCTTCGGAAGAAACGAGGTCTACGATGGCATCATGTCACCGATACTGTTCATCGCCGTTTGATGATGGTAAACTCCTCTAAAGCTAGTGCTTTGCCTACGAAGTCGGCTACTCAAGAAGTCGGACAAGGACGCTATTTAAGCATCTCAACGGTGCGGGAAAAAGGATAGATTTTGGATAAATCGGAAGGAAGTCCCGTTCATGAAAAACATTTGAATGACCGTAAAGAAATCAGAATGGCTAGCTCTTTGATTATTGGATGAATAATGAATAACAACAATGAAAGTCCTCTTCTCAATCTTAATAAAGATAATAAAGAAGCGACTTTAACATGGCTTAAAAATGTTGTGAAAAATTTCTGATCACTTTAGAAGTACGAAGTCGTTCGGGGAGAATTCGTCACATTGGTAATCAGCGTAACTTTTCGGGGAAATTTGAAAATCGTACCTTTTCGGAAAAGGCAACAAACCGCCTTTGAAATTGCACTCCTTTTGTCGGTATAAGGGACGGACAAAGCATATGTCGCTAGTACATCGCGTCAAACCAAATCCGTTGGACTGAAACATCGCTGGAATGAAGGAAGCTCATTCGACAACACGATTTTATACACGATGACTGTTAATCTGTTGCTATCCAATATGACCCGTTTTTGGAGTGGAAGCGCATTTTTGATAGTTAGTTTGGTGTTTGTTCGGTAGTCGGCAAGTAGATCCAACTTTTGAATTCTACCGAAATTGTGATAGTGATATAGTGAAAGCTATTCTCAATAAATTGTAAACGCAAACCAGAAACTGCTATGCTTAGGGTGGAGGTACAAGCTGTATTGCACAAAGATATTCAACTACATGTCGCCCCACCAACACAATAAAGGTTTGCAGAAATAAGAGGAGTGTGGTTAGAGGTTAAAAACAGACCTTATATTCTAAGCAGGCTATTGCCTAGTACGTAGCTCGATAATCCTTCTTTGAAATTACCTCTACAATTATCTACTGTTCATGGCAACTAAGCAGGGAAAGAAAATGATTACCTTTAGTTAGCATAGCACTAAACGCGATATAACTTGGTCAGTAGGAAGTTAGGTCCGGAAATAAATTGCGGTTTTTCGTCTTCTTTCAAAAGGCATTTTTAGGCTCAAAACCAACTTTATAAATTGAAATAAAAACACAGATTCCATACACATTTACCAACAAGAAACAAGTTCGCTTGTACCTGTTGCATAAAATTCTAGTCTTCTGCTAGCGATGCAGTCTTTGAAGGCAGTTTCGATCACGGCTTGGCTCCTGGCGCAATATCACACAGGGTTATTGAGATATATGAAGAAGTAGTGACCAGTAGGAGAAAGCTCTTGCAAGTAGGTAGGTGAAACAAGGTTTCGTAGCCCACTTTATTCAACTTTTCCACCGTCTGTGATGCAACTTGAGGCCGCGGATTGTCGCAGAGAAGGATTGCACACTTCGTGTTGACCAATATGGTGCATAACCGCCGAGGTTAGAAGCTGTTACGCATGAGAACGGTCCACCCAGATATGTCTGGAGAAGATTTTATGGAAGTCGCGTTGCACAAACATTTTAACTGCACTAATTTTGCTATCAGAGGCAAAATTTTCTCACTAAAATAAGACGGTCTTATCGAGAATTTCAAAGGTTATTTATGACATCTAGCTCTTTCAAGCTACTCGAATAGCTTCTTGGTTTAACAATTCTAACTGCGTGAAATGTTGCTTATAATCGTTCAGGGTTTCATCACCTATCAACTGTCACCTGTAGTCCCGTTGATCGTCGAGTGACTGGAGCGGCGGCCAGTGAATCTTCTATTTTTTCCTGTCGTGTGCAAGAGCAGCCCAGTAATTGGCGAAGCTTCGGTGGGCTTTACGAATGTTTTTCCCAGCCTGTTTAATTTCGACCATTACTGCTGCTCTTCTCTCTTTAAAATCTTCTTTTATCGCCTGTCTGCATTGTTTTGCAAGTTCGGACGTTAGTTCTCGGTTGCCTGCAGCTCGTGCGATTCCACGCTGGCGTATCAGCTCGAGTCTTTCTGGAGACAAACGTCTCCTGGTGACTTTCGAACCCTCGGCTTTCATAGCGCTAACGTGAAGATGTTGAATGGGCCGATCGTATTCTTCGTCGATGCTATCGACAACGGCATCTTCCCAACAGCCGACTAATGAGTTAAATAAGTCCCAGTTTACGGTGGTTCTGGGAGTTCGGTTTTCGAATTTAGTGGCTTTTTCTCCTTTCCGCGAGAAATAGAATCTTGCACGAAGGAGACGATGGTATGATCCCGTGTAGAATTTTGGGACAACAGCGACATCGGTTAAGCAAAACCTTCTATTTATTCAATGTTTTTCATCAATAAGCAGACACGATGTTGTTAATATAGAATTTATTAGAACACAATTGCTGACGTTTCGGCGTTTCGCCTTCTTCAGAGCCTGGAAAGGTCAAATTGAGATGTGATCTACTCAGCCAAACACTTTCACAACCCTAGCAGATAAAACTTGACAATTCGATTTGTATTCGCATAAGAAACAGCTTCATTTAAACACCTACCGTTTATTTGTTGTAAGTATTTAAGTTAGTTGGTGGATAGCCGCCGCACAGAGTAATACATGGTCGATAACTGGGTCCATGTCAGATCATTGGATCAGCCTGAGGTATGGCGCTAGGTCACGCGTGATGACAAGACACTCCTCCTTGCGGTTCATTTTTGAATTTTTGGCATTGATCCAAAACGCTTCAAGAGCTTTACGCGCTGATGTTTTTGATTCCTGCGTAAGGATAGTGACTCCTACCTCAAAATCTTCTCAGTTGTGTTCCTGCATCCTATGCGCGCCTAGTGGAGTGTTTGGTTTTAATTTAGATTTGCCGACTAGGTGTTCCTTTACACGGACGCAGAGCGGTCTACCCGTTTCTGTGTTCGTCCCCGCACGTTTTACAAGAGATCAGATAGACTGTACCCGAACTCATGCAGTCACCGTCTCTACCGTTACGGCAAATTATGCAGTTTTTTGTTGTACATAGACGGTCGTACAGGCGGTTGCGAACTAGCTGGCGTCTTAGAGTGTCCGGTGGTATTTCTATCACTCTTACGGAATTCTCTAGACCGGCCCTTATTAAGCAGCGTTTTATAGCTGCACTTATTTCGTTTGAAATAAAGGGCAACAGAAACGGAGCCTTGTTTTCGCTAGAATTATCGCTCTGGGGCGTGGGATTTCCTCGATGCCTATCCTGAGAATCTACAGTTTCGTAACCATTTGAAATAGCTATTTGCCGCGCCAGTTTCGAGGATTCTTCCCTCTGTTCTCTACCTGTGCACACGCTAGCGGCGGTTGGAAACATATTTCTTATAAGCGCTCTTTTAGTGTGTGAGGGGTGAGAGGAGCGGTAGTGAACCACTATATTCTTACTGCTTGGCTTTCGATACCATTTTGTGTTGTAGCCGTTCTCGGATAGGTTAATTTGAAGGTTTAGAAAAGGAAGCCAGTTTTCTTTCGGTTTCTCACGGGTGAATTTTATGTACTCTGACTGTTCATTCAATAACTTAAAGCATTTGCCCATCTCCTCTTGTGTGGAGCAGATGACAAAACAATCATCTATATACCTACAGTAGAGTAATGGCGTGAGATCGATTACTGGTGCTTCCACTTTAGACATAAAGGCAACGGCAAGGGTTGGTGCCAGTCGCTGTATTTGTACTTCTATCTTCTATTTATTATGATGTAGTCTATATCGTTATGGTACTCTCCATTGGGAGACTCCCAGGTCTAGCGCTGAAGGTGGGGCTTCTGGAATTGCGAGTTACCAAGGATGGTCTTGGTCGCCATGATAAACTCAGACAGCTGCTCACCCTGCTCGTTTCATTCTTATCCGTGGGTCCCAATGTGACATTCTTCAGACGTTCTTCTTGGTCCAATCTTAGTGTTGAAATCTTCAATGATGACCGTGAAGAATGTATGGTCTTCTCTGTAGAACTTCTACAAGTCCATTTGGAACACTTCGACTTCTTCTTCGTCATAGTTTGATGCGGGCGCGTAAACGACGAAGATTATCAAAGCCGGAATTAATCCACGTCTTTTTAATCGTAAACGTCCGATTCGGGTTGTAAGTTGTTCGAATGAATCGATGTCCATGGACAAACTCGTGTTGACGAGAACGCCGACGCTGCCGACTCCGCTACTGTCGCATGTTCCGAGGAACAGTTCTTCTCCGGTGTCATAGACGGCGGTGAATAGGTGACGTCGTCTCGTCTCGGCCAGGCCGATGACGTCGTATCTTATCCTTCTTGCTTGCATGAGTAAGTCTTCTATCGAGGACTTGGAGAGAAGTGTGCTTGGATTGTAGGTACAAATTGTCACCTTAGTTCTTTGAAATCCAGGCAGCTTCCACTGGCCCTGAGATTTTAGCAGTCTCTCCGTACTCGTCTACCCAACGCTGCGACGTTGAGGGCTCTTTTGGGGTCACGGGAATGAGGCCCGTTTCTTTTACTGCTTTTAGCTTTCTGACACCCACGTATTGCTTGCTGGGCTCTGAACGTGGAGGCTGGGCGCACTCACGGGTAACTTGCCAGTCTCTTCCAGAATAGACAAGGGACTTATTTGTTGGAGGGACTCCTAACCACCTCTCATATACTTCCCCGTCAGTTGATTGCAGGCTTTTGGCCGAATTGACTCGTGGAATACAATCCGCATGTGCGAGAACGCACCCACACACCCATGCATTAGTACGCTTAGTAAATACGGAAAGTGTGTGCCAAATCGGTGCAGCAGAAACAAGGAGTCCATCCCTTTGATCCACCTCCGTCTCAGAGCAGTATTATATGGTTTTGACCGAAAGTGCTCCGAAAGTTTCGTATGAGTTGCCAATCCTCTACTAAATATGTCGTCGTGATACTGGTTCGTTCGTCTTCCAAACAACCCTATCCTTCATCGCGAAGCTTGTGACTCTCCTTCTAATCTTATCTGCTGGAAGGTGGAGACATTTCCTAATACGATGCTGAATAATCGCATCTTACCACTAACATTGCTGCTATGTAATCTCCACCTTGTTTAACACATGAATGAACCTAAATTGATTCAAATTCATGCTCATTCCGAGTCTTCATTTTGCCGCAAGGAGTTTTTTTGTTGTAATTCTTGTATTCGATATCAATAACTTATTCAGCACAGATGCTGTGTAGTAGTCTACGGGAAGCTATTCCATACGCTTAATAATTTGCGAAGAGCTTTGTTGATATAGTTTTCCAAATGCAAACCTCTTGCGGAAAAAAATCATCGTAGTGCTGAATGGCTTTCGAACAAGATTAGGTGGAGTCGCATATGTTTTAAGAAGATGTGCATTCAGTAGGGTGCGTGTGGCGCGGTGGTCGGAGGCGCCCTGCAACGCACACGTGGAATCGATCCGCTCGTCCATGGCCCGCCAAGCCTTTCATCCCTCTAGGATCGGTAAACTGGTACCAGACTTGCCTGGGAGGATAGCAGCACTGGCGCTTAATGAAGTCGAATGCATGTCGCATCCCTCAGGGATTGATCAACGTCTAGAGCTTTACCCTTCTATTTGTTATGCATTTAGATAAGTTGACTTAGCAAACCGCATGTGTTCTCAAACCAGTCAACTACTTTAACGTGACACTATATTTACTAGATTCCAGAAGTGCGACTCAAATTTGTGTTTCGACAGATGTCCTTACTAATCTTATGGCTGTGGATTTTGACACTGCGAGCATAGTAATTTAGTAGAGAAGAAATATCTTGTGTCATCTTGAAGAACTGAAGAAAATACCTTATTTAAAAGATGTTGACTATTTCTATTTGTTTTATGTAAAACCTCCTCTTTCTTTTTTAAAAATTGCTGTCCAGCGCTCAAGCGCGGATTTATACTTTTTTGTTACAACTGTCGACCACCAATTTTCCGTTTCAGAAGGAAGACGAGTATTTCTTTCTCTAACGACGAATGATATATTCAGAGCCATTCATTGCCTGAAATGTCATCGTGGTTCTTCCGTATATTGTGAGTTGAAACAAAAATAATTTACTCTCATAGTTTTTCTCTGCATGATCATTTTGCAAGCACTTGAGCAGCGAAGCATTTTTTACACACTGCTCTATACCTTCGCGATTTATCACGAGGATATGATATTTTCTAACGATGAAATACTTCCAGTTTATAGCAATGCAATAATTTTCAAACCGTCCGTCATTTAACAACGGTTGTAATAACCAGTACCTTCTTGGTTTATTCAGCTTGCACGGGGTTGTTACATAAGTTTTATTTGGATAACGCCCATATGGACTTTTATATTTGGATAGCCCATAGTTGTTCTTTTCGATGTGGCGGGAAGAGCGCTGCCGGTTGATGTTACCTCATTGGAGCGCTGCTCCAGTGAGGAAGATCTCTCTCGGTAGACGACCAAGACGCCACTACGAGAGGATGAACAGCTGTGGACCAACGACTCTGAGCATCAGCTTAGATGAAGGCGAAGACGTCGAAGCGTTGACCGAATAAAACTTATACAGCAGCCTCGTGTAAACTCAACAATTCAAGAATGTAATTCCAGTGTCTTTCATGTTTTTCTTTTTAACTGCTTTCCATTTCTCACATCTCTCTTTCTTGCTGGGAAGGACCGTGATTCTCTGTGATGGTTTACCTCATAGTTTTAGCAAGTTTCGAGTTGTCATGAACTACGTATTGTTCATTCATCAGCTAAAGTCATTCACGCTGGAAAACATTCGGAAGACATGCTTGGAATAAGCTTATGTCAGTCCTTCTTTACTTAACAGAGTATATTCGCGCAAGTGTTAAACCTAGCAGTTCTCCATATTATTCACAAACGTACACGGGAATCACAGTGGTTAGAGATGCCATGCAGCATACGAATAGTTTCTGTTTCGACCCTTGTCCATGCTAACCATGCCGTCATCTCTACAAGGTTGACAAACTTATGGCAAACTTGTCTGAAACAACTTCACCAGACCGAGGAAAAGTGGTAAATTTTGTTGATGAAAACCTGGCAGTGTAGTATAGCCAAACTAGGATTCCAAGGAAAACCAATTTGACGAGCACTCTACTTTAACGGCGTTCATAAATATGAAGCTCTCAAGTGCAGTAGAAGCTGCACACAAATCTGAAGGTGTTCGTGGACGAGTTACTCAAAGAGTGAATCGAATGAAAGAAGTGCTGACTTCTGGACAGGTCGTGCCAACAAAACAAATAAACAAATATATAAGCAAATGCACCCTTCTGTGATTTGCAAACACAGACGAATTCTTCAAAAGAAAAAAGTAAACGCTCTACTATGACGGTATCCTAAATTCAAGTAAGACTTTACTAACTGGTACGATTCAAAGTTACACTAAGGCACGGGATATTCTCACATGTGATGAGCCTCAACATAGTTCCGTATTATTTTTGTCTTTTACCTGTACACCACATACTGTTGCCGAGTGAAGTGAATGACCTCCATTCAAAGGCTTTATTGGTCTCTACTGTTCAGCAAGACTGCGAAAAGGGTTCTACTCGGCTGTGAAAGAGCACACTTTTAGTATGCACCCTATTGCTACTGTGGTTTTTGGCAACGAGGTAACTACGACAACATGCGGAACCGTGTCATAATGTTAGTTTACTCTTAGCAGACATTTTGAATGGGAAAAGCGTTAAAGTGCTCACCTTAGCAGACCCTGTTTTATATGAAACATCGACGTAGTTCATATTTCCGTGCTCAGGTTCGCTACACAACGAGGATGTGGTTTTACAATGCGGGATAAAAAGACCTATGCACGATGACGTTTCACAGAACAATCGTGTATTTTATTCGTTTTTTGAGAGGATATTTTGATACTCCCGATACTCCCTTAATTGGGCGGTATCAAATTGTCACTGATTTCGTTGGAGCTGTAAATTTCGAAACATCACAGTTTAAGAATTCACTCATCAGTTCACCGAGAATGAAACTGATTCTTCTGAAATTTTTTCTAACCAAAAATTGAAGCGGTGGACGAGGAATGAGGTAAGGGTAGGGAAGAAAGACTGAGAGTCCTGTTGGAGGAAAACTGTGGGTATAAATAGTTACGTGTTGAACATACTTTCAGCGGCGGTATAAAAGAACAAGTTGAAGAAGCGTCCGATGCAGCAGATGCTGAAGTGCAAGCAGCTGACGCAACGGAGGTATACATTGCCCATTCCATTTCTGCTTTCCCTCACGCCAAATTTTAGAATTCTTTATTGTTTCCACTGAATTTATCAGTTTCAACATAAATGAATCAAAAATTGGCAAAAATGAAGGAAGTATTTCGAAATCGACTTTCCTTCAACCTCGGTGTTACTAATCAATATGTATTCTTCATCTGATGAGCTTACACGAGGTTAATAAATATATTTTTTGGCTAACGTTCGAAGGAGATTGCTCGATTCGAGGAGATAGCCTGTTGAGGAAGACCTGACTCGACACGAAGGCGAAGCCGCCACATCGAGACGAATAGCTAGCGTGGACGGTCGACTCGGATCATCGGCTCTGGTGAAGACGAAGACGTCGAAACGTTAACCAAAAAAAATATATTTATCAACCTCGTGTAAGCTCCATCAAAGAAATAATACATAAAAGTGAATGTATTGAAATAGAGTAGTTTGCATATAAAGCCATCATTAAAGCTGTGGCTCTTTTTTGTAAAGAATAGCAGTACCTCTTTCACACCTACGAAGGCCAAGAGCGAAGTTTTTCATTCGATCATTTGCTTCAGAGTTTATTTGTTTCCATCGCAGGTGGTTCAATACGAGGATGATACTGTGCCTAACCAACCGGGAACTTCGTCCTCTCTTAGGTGTGCGATCAAAAGCTTGCCGAACGAACAGTGGAACATTGTCGAAGATGTGAGCAGAATGTTTTTGCTTGAAGAAAATCTCTGGCATTTAATACTGCGTTGAAAAACTGCTGCAACATATTTGCGACGGTGTGCTTCGCTTTCATATTCATTCATAGGTAAATCAACGCCGAGAGCTTTATCCCTTTATTTATCCTTTATGCTTCATATGCGCCTCATAGATGGCCGCAAATAATCAGGCCTTTCAACTTTGCGTGAGATTGTTTCAGATCATAGTGAACTGTATTTAGTTAGACAGAAATCGAATAGATTTAGTGATCGTTTCCAGAAAGGTACAGGTTTCCTATCGAAATCTGGTAGAAGTCTATTTTTCTGAGGCCCATAAGACATTTTGCTTTCGTTAATCGAGGCTTATATGCCATGCGACTGAACAAGTGCGGTTTTGTCCAGATGGATACATCTGCGCTTACTCCTCACAAATGCGCCTATCGAATCTCCTTTGGAATTTTTGATCATTTAAGGAGTTTCCTTGAAATTTCGGACTTAAAGCAGTTTTGAAATTAAAATGAAATTCCTCAAAGATTATAGTATATCTCTAGAGCGACAAAGTAAAGTCTGCACTATAAACTTATCAATTCCTCAGATTCTCAGTACTCTGTCGAAAAATTATCAATTTTCGAAGAACCGTTGCGGTGAATGTATAATGCAGCGGTTAGAGGTGCCCTCCAATACAGCCATGGTCATTGGTTCTAAGCTACACTTCAAGCCAAGAAAACAAAACCCTTCATCCATCCACTTAGTTGACACATCGGGAGGTCCGCAAAAGTTTCTGTATAAACTTATTATTCATTACGTCACTTTTAGGATCCTTAGTGGCATCGAATACGTAACATGATTGATCGATGAGAAGCGCTTATTGTTTTATCTTTTGTCATGGCTACAAATGCACAAAATATTAGAGTTAGCGTGGAAGTGGAAAGTAGAACTGATTTTTTCCACTCAAAAGGTTTTATTTCCTTGCTTAAAGTTTAGGTTCAAAGTATGGATTTAGTATATTTCAGAAGTAATATCTGAGCTTCGAAAATATGCTTGAAGGTTCTGCGCAGAGCTGATGAGTCGCGGAAAGGCGTGCGTGTGGTGCTTGAAGGTCGTGAACTACTTCGCTATGGAACCGTGCCTAGAGGTGTAACACACAGTAAATCAGAATTTTACGTTGAGAAAATTCCGAGTGAAGATGATGAAAGAAGAGGAGATCTGTTGCAAATGGATTCAATACCAGAAAGTGAGTTTATTGGGCAAATTAAAACAGTATTGCAATTTCTTGTACCGATAGATGGTAGTGAGAGACAATCACCATCCATGCATAGTTACTGGGCGAGTGGACGTTATCAAACTTTAATGCGATAATATTTGGGTTTTTCAGGCGTTACAACTTCCACATCTCCAACCTACGTCTCTCACGTTGAACAGCTTGGATACTTGAGTGATAATGAACATAGTAAGAAGATTTTTATTATTTAATTTCTATTGTATACTTGAATATGAATAGAACAACTCACTATGTGTTATCAAGGCAACCAACGTTTCCTCACTAGAAATGCGAAGATTCTCGTGCATCGAAAAGCAGCCATAGAGATGGGGCAACTTCAAAACAAAGTTTTATTGTATGGTGGCATCATAGATGAAAGGAAGGATTGACGACGTCGCAGCATCATCTCTCTCTCTCTCTCTCTCCTAATTTTTATAACAACCTCGTATTGGCTTCTCAATGAAACCACTTTTTCAAATTTTTTTTACACGACCTGTCTTTCACTGCTGCTGTGTAGAACCCAGCACTTCTCGCATTAGACTCGTTTCCAAAGCTTCCATAATCCACGAAGGTTTTCCGACTCATGTGGCTTTGACTGTACTGATCCTTGAGGATTTGCCTTTAGTCGTTAATGTCGTTGGATTCTGCTTGAAAGGGTTCTCATTGGAGGTCTCAGAGGGATGATGATCGGAATGATCACCACTGTGCTAACCACCCTCAATGAAAGCAATGAAACCATATACTGATTATGTCAAAACTTATCAGCCATTTTCACTTTGGTGGTGACAGCTTTTCTACACCATCAAGCACTAGCCAATTTTGAGAACGGGCGGACTAATTGGTCTCCTTATTGAAAACGGTTTTATCGAACAACGGACTTTTCTTCTGATGTGGCGCTGAGATGAATTACTTCATATTATGAGCGTTCCTTTTTGTTTAAAAACATAATGTCTCAGATGTTCTATATCGCATGTGATGGACACGATTACTACGCTTCTTTACAGCTCAGCAACTAGTTCTTTTTTTCAGAGCAGTCCAAAATCGCTCCTAGAAGCCGGATCGAGACGTTGAGAACGCGGTTATGGAACTGGTTCCAAACTTTGGATTACGACGGAGAACATTTGAATGATCGACGAGATGTTGGTCAGATCCCAGTGCTCCTTCTTCAATTTTGATAATAATAATATTAGTAATAATAATGGTAACAACAATAATAATAATACAAAATATTCTAATGCAGTTTGTCATGAATTTCTTATCAGCGACACACTAGATATACGGCTTTTCTTCCTTACTTTATTTCTCAAATTTTTTTGCTCTCTTTATTTTCAAGTTTATTTAAAGAAGGCTTTGTTGATCGACCACTTGAGTCCAATATACGGGAAGATATTGCATGCGTTTCCTCAACAACTGCGATAACTATGAATTGAGAGAATGAATAACGACGTCCTCCTTTAAGGCCATCGAAGAATGTTGAACTGCTGCTTTACCGACAGTTGTCAGCTGCAGTCACACCGCTAAGTCTTTGTCCAGCTTAGTTTTCTCAAATAGGAGGCAGACTATTGTATATCTTTCTCAGAACAACACCGGAGTAATGGAGTTTATTTTCATATACATTCGCATTGACCCCTCTAGTTTTCCCGAAATGAGTTTCGTGTACACCATAGCTAGCTAGTCTGCGGTAGAAAAGGAAGAGCATCATGGACCTCTGTGTTCGGGTTTGGCTTGATTGACCACCTCAAGTATGCGAGAACGCGCGGCATGTGTTGCTCGAGATTCCAGTGTCGAACCAATAAACATGTGCCCATGACTAAGGAATCAGAAACAGCCAAAAATATATTGTAAATCGGCCCATTTTTTAACGAGTTCTTTACCAAAATCATGCTCATAGCTTCACGGTTGAATGAGTGGGTTTTGAAGCATTCTTGAGCATAGATCTGAATTGATTTTGTGGATCACTTTCTAGCTTTAAGATAATATTTTGCCTTTTACTTCTCATTGTAAACAAAAACATAACATGTGGTCGTTTTCAGAAACCCGAACCCCCACCTCTCCGCTGGGCCAAGATGTCAACTCATTTATTGACGTGTTCTCGACCGGTGTTGTCGTTCTTGCCTTACTCGAGCTCTATAAAAGCTCTCTACAAAGCTCCTATTCGCTTCACTACTACTGCAACTCACTAAGTCAAACCGTATTCCACCTGTTCTGTTCGGACGTCGAACGCTTTGTCTTCAAGAGTGAACGAATCGCTGCAATTGACGAATTCTGCTCACAACTGGTGCTTCACATATTTAGAGATATTTACATGCATTATAGTGACAATTTGGGTGGAAATCTTGCGGAAGACGAAGATAGCTTTTACGGTAAGCTCATTTCGAGATTGTTTCCTTTTTGCTCACATTTAATGTTCTTTCGGTGCTAGGAATTAGAAACAGTGGTAACAACGTTAATTCTACAAGTACTCTAGCAAAATAGTTGCAACTGCGAGATAAAATCTTCTAAATACCTTGGCTAAAAATAAAATGATCACACCAAGTATGGTCCTGTTTTCGCTGGTCTACCAATGTACCAAGTTAATGTTTGTTTATCCTTCCAGACAAATCTGTAAAAAAATTGCCCACTCCAAAGAAATGGAGGATCGACACGACACGCGGGATCGAGCTACCAATCCTGAGTAAATAGCACGGCAACTCTAATCACTGCTTTACATGCGTACATATAAGCAATATATATACATATGTGCACGACTCGGCTAATCATAGGACTCATTTTTACCGAAGGAATTGTGGTCATCATGAAAAAATTCGAGTGGCAAGGTAGCAATGCGGCAAGCTCTCCTGTCTACAGAGGCCATCAACAGCCGCTGGGGTGTTCTCCAGGGAGAATCATGCTTGACCAGCATTCGATATGTTAATTAGGGAAGACAGCAGATCTTTATGTTTCAATGGCACAACTCGATGTGGTACAAATTAAGGGACCTGCTTCTTGTTGTGATTAATCTCTGATCGGCTATTTGCCTGCAACATGGCGTGCTAAGTAGCGGATAGTGGTTTGGGCTCTAGTTAAAGCGACCATGTACTTATCTGAAATGCTAGTGGTTTCAGGAGATAAGCTGCCTTTCTTTGCCGCACTGAACTGGTTTTTACATTTCATATACACGCAAGCGGATTCAAGCACTGGCTGTGTGTTTGACGTGATTAGGGAGTATATTATTGGAGGTTAGGGTTTCCGCCAACAAAATATAACCGTTACTACGTTTACTCCGATAGCCCGACAAGGCCGCGTGTGGCGCAGTGGTCTGAGGCGCCCTGCCACACAAGTGCAATCGATACTCGCGCCCATGGCCCACCAAGCCTTCCATCCTTCAGAGGTTTGTAAATTGGTACCAGGCCTCTTTGGGAGGATAGCAGCACTGGCTCGATACATCGGTAGGCCACTGCGAGTCATTAAAATGACCAGATATGCATTTAATCACCTCCAGACGATACTTAATGAAGTCGAATACATGGCGCATCCCTCAGAGATTGATCGACGCCGAGAACTTTATCGTTTTTATCGTTGCCCCTGACAAACTGCATATCTAGGAGAGACATTGACGGTATAGACTAGGCGTCTTCGAGCACTATGGAATATTTAAATAGAATATCGGTGAAGAAGCTAGTGTCACTATTTAGAAAGTGAAACCTAGAGCAATCTTCAACTTTTAACTGAGCGGTTCTAAAAGGTTTCTGGGTTTTTGCAGCAAATCCTAGACTCTATGAAAAAGAATGAGTGTTACTGAATAAAGAACGGCTTTTGTATGTATAGCACTTCACGATGCACAGTTGCTTTAATGATTACATACAGTTGAAAAATCAGTACTTTTGAATACGAAGGTTTTCGAAAAAGATTCAGTCATCAGAGTGGTAGTGAAGTAATTTGGCGAGTAAATTTCACGTAATAACTTGCCCTATTTGTGAAACCTGACATGGGTTTTGGGTCGTTTCAGCGGGCAAAGATTCAGAAGTTGATACTGGAAGAATTGTTCTGTGAATTAGGTCTGATTCACAAAGGTCGGAGACTGCTTTTAGTGTTGCTTTTAGTGTTGCTCAGGTGTTTGCAAAACTCCGGACCACAGGTGTCTGTGGTGGGGATCGAACACGTCTGCAGTGAAAACTTGAGAACAACTTAGAATGAATAACTTAGGTTCCCAGGATCGACTTTCTCTTAACCTCGGCATTGGAGTATGAATGTGTCGTTTTCTTGTTCAGCAATCGCGAGGTTTTTAAACAGCATACATTTACTTCCATAAAAACACAATACAATACAACGCTAGCTGACGTTTCGGCAGTATCGCCTTCTTCAGAGCCTGGAAGGGTATACTGATATACAATCTACTAGGCCAAACGCTTCAATAACACTTACACAAAGACGAAAGACTCTTTGGTAATTACACGATCAACAACTTCTCGAAAAACCCACCGCTTTTTTCGTGACTTCCAATGAATAACTTAGGTTTCCAGGGAGGATCAGCTTGAAAGCATTCAACAGGAGGTTCAAGAGGTTCAGGGCTTTCAACAGGATTCATTCAACAAGTTTTCAGAGGGCAACCAAACACTCTCCGAAACCGAGGATAAACAAAGCATAGAGCTCTCGGCGTTGATCAATCAATCTCTGAGCAATGCATTCGACTTCATTAAGCATCGTTGGAGGTTATTGAATGCATATTTGGCCTCTACAGTGCCTCGAGGTGGCCTACCGATGTATCGAGCCACCACTGCTATCCTTCCAGACAAGTCTGGTACCAATTTGCCTACGCCGTAGAGATGGAGGGCTTGGCGAGCTTGGGGCGCAGAGTTCGATCCCATGTGTATTGCAGTGCGGCTTCGACCACTGCGCTACACGTGCCTGAAATTCGCGGATTGTGGATAGTGGAAACAAATAGAATGAAAAAAGTGTTGGGATCCGCACAATATGTGATTTCGGGTCACATAAAAAATGTTAAACAATGATGAAGTATTGAAGAGAGTTAGGTCGTGTCATGCGCTTAGGAGAACTTTTATTGACATTGCAATAGAAAAAAGGAAGAAATAGCTTGTAGCAAGACGTAATTCCCTAACAGTGTAGTAATTTCACATAGCAATAGTCAGCAAACTAAGGTATTTATTTCAGAGAAGGAACTAACCGATTCTTCAATATCGTCGTTATTATCCACTTGCTACGAAATACTTCAAGTTGATGTTGACTCTTCTGAAGAGGACTACGAAAAAGCCTCCAGATATTCATCGCTGCAGTATCCATTAGAAGACTGGGAGTTGATTGAAAGCCAAGTATTTGTTTCGCCTCAACTGGGAGGCATCAGAAGCGAAGAATGTGAAGCAGTACATCCGTCGTACTCTCCGATGCTTGCGCAACATGCTTCAATTAATGATGAAGTTTCGAGCCAATACTCGGAGCTACCTGATGAGCCCGTATCGAACAATGCGATTCCGATCTCCTATTTGGAAAGCATTCGAAAAAGCATTGAACAAATATCAAAATATGAGCCTGAAATCTTTGATGAATCGTATCTGCCACTTCCGCACAAACAATTACCACCGCCCATGTCGTCGTTGTCTGGAATGATTGAAGACAAGGTAGGTTGAAGTATTCAATAGAATATAATAGAGATCGTAAACATGTAATTCCTTCTTTTTATTGCCTATCTTTCAACGATATTGATAGTCCTGAAAGGAAGTAAAAAATTTACTAGCTTTTGCGAGGTTTCTGCAGAAATTTTATTCCAGACTTTTATTCTAGACTTCCCTATAGAGGGTTATACTAACTGCAAGGGATTCTGTAAGCAAGATTGTTAGCTTTAAATGAAGTCACACATTACAAATCGACAGAGACTGCACATTCATATCGTCAAAATGGCATGTTACCCTACTCTAGGAAAAAGTTCGAAATTTTAATCGAAATTGCGAAACCTGAGGGGTTGAAGTTTGCGAAAATAGAAGTGAACCATGGATGCATTCTTCTGTGATTGACCTATAGGTGTAGCGAACATTAAAGCTAGGCAATGAGTGTTAATCATGTTGTAAAAGAGGCAATGTGAAAACCTCTACTGTATACCTTCAACTTAATATGCTGTGTAACTTGAACTTCTCTTGACCTTTAAATGTTAGGATAGAACGAGCAACATCAATCCTTTCTCCATTTATTCTTGATTTTGTTACGGATTTAGTATATTCTCGCACCATCATAGTAAGCTGTCATGCTCTAAAAGTATAGCTAGTCACTCACTGGATATCCATTTCTTTGGTTGACATCTTAGCGAACTCAGACAGACAAAGCTTTCGTCCAGCGTTTGTCTTTACATTGAACCACACATCCGTTTCATAAGTGAACTTATTCTTTTTGTCAACTTCTCTAGCCTTCACTCGTCGGCTGTTACCGAAACCTTGATTATGTACTCTTTCATTGATAAGATAACACCAACTGGATAAAAAGGACTACTCGGCTATATGCCGAATGTTCATGCAGAACGAACTCTCTGTCAGCCTAGTGTTAGCATACCAATAGAAGAATACATATTGGCTAGTCATGCCAAGGTCGTTTATTTATCGCAGCAGAATGGTTCCAGTATGTTCGACAGATTCCTCTGGGGTGTCACCTGTTAACAATATCATAGGAAGGACACCAACATTTTTTATCAATATATACTGACGTTAGACTTAGCTACCATAATTTCACAATGTCTCTATGACATGGTACTTCTCACTTTGCTCTGTCTTTTACAAACCAAGTTATTGCTGTCGATCCTTAAAGTGATGTGCTACGCGATAGGGAGAGAGTGGCGCTACTGATTCCAAGCTTCGGGCATCTAAAGTCCGAAAAAACACTTCTATTCTCTTCATGACGTTTGGAATCAATGTTCAGATTGAGGTGGAAGAAACATCCAAAATTGGTTAATACTATTGGTTAATGTGACACATAGTTACGAATGAATGCTTGTCGACATTTCTAAGGAAGCGTGACGTTTGCTCGAAAGAGTCGCAGAATATGCTCCCACTTATTTCGCCTATTCTTTCAACATAATGCTTTAGCTGCGAAAGATTTGCATTAAACTAGAGGCAAACCTTCACATCTACTCAGGGTTGAGATTAGGTAAACTCTAATAGAATGAATAAAATTCGCTACAACAGAGAATGTGACAATTCTGTGGATCCACCTGCATCGTAGAGAAACAGCATTCATGACCCTGTGTTGAAATCTCCGGTTAAGGGAACTTGCTACCGCTAAACCTTGCGGCTGTCTTTCTCTATCTCTTTTTTCTCAATGTCCAGCAGCAAATTTTCATAATATATTTTGATAATAAACAAAGTTGTTTGCGAAAGCGATGAGTTTTCTGATGGAAAAAAGGTCGTGAGGTCTCCTCAACATTTTCAATGCACTCGAGTAATGCACACTAACTGGTCTATCCGCAAATCATTGTTGTGATAATGTTGTAGCCATTAACCTCATATTAACCTTGCATAAGTAATCTGCTAACAGAAGGAAAAGCATAAAATTTTCGAAACATCACTACAGAAACCATTTGCACTCTACTCATGAGAACGCTTATAGCCAATACTAACACAAGGGAAAACCTGCAGCAGTGTTGCAATCACTTGTTGAACAAACAATCAAAAGAATCTATTACGAAACGAAGTAAAGACAGCATGAGAAACAAACTTTTAAGAAAATCATCATACCCCTCACATGATACCAAAAACATAGAAATACACTTCAAAGCGGTAAATTACGGTTAATATTGATTGCAGCGCAAAACTGGACTCCAAATCACCGAGGAGAAGGCAATTTGCCCACCGAGTCAGGAATATTTCGTCAGCGATTCCGTTTCAGATGATACTTGCTTTAAAGCGCAGCTGCAATTTGAGAGGAATCATACGCAAAGAATTAGCGAAATGAAGACTCACTATACAGAAACGGACAATGAGAATATCATACAGAAACCATATGACGAATTACTGCAAATAAGAGATACCCCACCCAGCAATACAAAGAATGGGTTGCCGGAACACCTTCCATCAGTAACTATGGAGGAAAAACCGAAATATAAGATCAGTCAAGAGAAAACCGACACCGCGGAATACAGAGCCGCTTACAAAAAACTTTTGACGTTTTCTAAAGTAGCCCATCATGACATTTACACAGATCTCCAAACAAGATCAGATTTAGAATTTCCAAACAACTTGGCTCCAATGCACGGACAATCTCCTTCAAAGTTAAAACGTCAGCATAACACTTCACATCCACTGCGAGATGATTGGTATACACCTTCAGGAACACCACATGATGAACCGTACGTCGATGAAAGTATTATGTACAAACGAGAGGCACCATGCAGACCTCCATTACCTTCACAAAGTATTGACCAACTGGAAGCATCGCCACCTGATAAAGTTGCAGACGGTTATGTATTAACTCAGCAAGAACTGGATCACATTGCTTGGATTCAACGTCTGGCGGAAGAAACCTTGGAAGCGAAGCCCATCGATGCTCTTCCAGCTGCTGTGATTGAGGACGTGCGAGAAGGATTGGTGATCGCAGAGGAAGACGTTCCAATGTCATCTTCAATCCAAGTTATACCAAGCGTTAATGTAGTGCCGGAGGGAGACCAATCCAAGGAAGAATCTGAACCGACTTCGGGAGCCGATCAAGGGACTTCAACAGAACAAGAGTCACCATCTGAGGAGGTGGTTCTGTATGAAAGGTCTTCTCCATTGCTAGAATATCAACACGAAATTTCCCCTCCACTAGAGGAAGATCGGAATCTCCCTTCATCAACACGGGCTGGTGAACCATTCGTCGTCGAAACTATTGGGTACAAACGAGAGCCACCATGCAGACCTCCATTACCTTCACAAAGTATTGACCAACTGGAAGCATCGCCACCTCATGAAGTTGCAGACGGTTATGTATTAACTCAGGAAGAACTAGATCACATTGCTTGGATTCAACGTCTGGCGGAAGATACCTTGGAAGCGAAGCCCATCGATGCTCTTCCAGCTGCTGCGATTGAGGGCGTGCGAGAAGGATTGATGATCGAAGAGGAAGACCTACCAATGTCATCTTCAATCCAAGTTTCACGAAGCGTTAATGCAGTGCCGGAGGGAGACCAATCCAAGGAAGAATCTGAACCGACTTCGGGAGCCGATCAAGGGACTTCATCAGAACAAGAGTCACCATCTGAGGAGATGGCTCTGTATGAAAGGTCTTCTCCATTGCTAGAAGATCAACACGAAATTTCCCCTCCACTAGAGGGAGATCGGAATCTCCCTTCATCAACACGGGCTGGTGAACCATACGTCGTCGAAACTATTGTGCACAAACGAGAGCCACCATGCAGACCTCCATTACCTTCACAAAGTATTGACCAAATGGAAGCATTCTTTCTTGGGAAACCCGATGAAGTTGCAGACGGTTATGTATTAACTCAGGAAGAAGTAGATCACATTGCTTGG